ACCAAGGTCATATTTTGTCTCCACACCTTTGCACCTGACCGGAAGCAGTCAGGTGGAGATGCCAGTGTGGAAGAAGACAATTGAACCATGTGATGGATTTGTGGATGTGGGGACAAGATCATGAACTTTTAACTGGGTGGAATCCCATGAAGTTCTTTAGAATTGGGATTCCACAGATGTGCTAAGATGTCTGATTTATTAAATTGGAACTTTAAGGATCAATTTGCCTTGGACTCTGATTTAATTCTACATGATACTTGGAACGCTGACAGTACATTTTATTCATGTGTTATTATGTATATAAAGAAGTTAATGAATCCTGCTGAATCAGTTATCTGAGTGTGCTTTCTGGATATGATTTCTGAAACAAACGCTAACACTGGACTGTTAAGAATCCCGCATATTTTAAGAGAAGAGAGAAAAACCAGGAGCTACCAACCGATGGAATGGCGCCTAGAAGTTCCTCAAGGTTATTGTAGCCATAGGTATTGGGATGAAGGGCTTCCCCTGTGTATTTGCTGTAGGCTGTTGGGAACTCATGGAGGAAGATCTGTTGGTAGTGGTAGGTATGGAGCAGAAGTCTCACTTTCTTGGCAAAAATATACAGGTCTGTAAGCTTCACATATTCTGCACCACCATCAATAAAAACCTGGAGGGAAAAACAAACAAACAAAAAAGACTTCCATGTGACTAGTCCTCTTGCTTTCACAAAGGAAGGAATATTCTTGAGTATGAACTACAGATAGTCCCCGGCTTACGAAAGTTGATTTAGCAACTGTTTGGAGTTACAACGGCACTGGAAAAAGTCAAAGGGACCCTTCACTCTTCACGGCCTGTGTGTATTATAAAGAGCCCAGCCGTCTTACTCACCTCGATAAAATAAGGCACGCTCATCAGAAGCTCGATAAAGGTCATGAAGCCATATTCACATGGGTTAAGGACAGTCCCCTGGACAACCTCGTAACGCCTCTTCAACTCCTTAACGGAAACCATGGTGACTTCATCCAGGGTCATGAGAAGCACCAGAAGATGGGAAGTGAGAGTCCGGAGGGATTTTTTATTGATCAGCTGAAGCTGTTTCCCAGATTCTGTATCGGCCACCTGGAGGAGTTGAAAGAGGAGTTGCCAACATTCAGCCTTCCACCCTATTGACCCACCCAAGTCCCATAACTGCCGGGGCTACAGCAGGTGGGAATTCTGGGAGGAGGACCCGAGATCGGGGAAGAGAGCCGTCCCCATCGTTCAGAATTCTAGAAGGAAGACTTCATGAGGTAGTTTTGAGTTGCTCAGCTTGGCGTTTCTGTCACGAGAACCCGTGACTGGCAGAGACGTGGTAACAAGGTTAGCCAATGGGTATAGCAACTAAGTAAGCCAATGAGGGCTGTTTAGAAACTGAATTTGGAGACAACCAGGAGCCTGGGCGTGGCTTAGTCAAACTGTTCTGTACTAAAAGCTGCAAGTCTGCGCAGAGAAACGAAGCTAATCTAGTCTGCCTGCAACTCTGAACTGAAACAAAACTGTTCTCTCCTCTGTCTGTGAACCTTGTGCTGTTGGTATTGTATATTTACCTCATGTATTATATTATATACTAGCTGAATACCCATGTTCCGCCTACTATGTGATTGGACTTGATAAATCAACACCTAATAACTTGAAAATAAATATGATTGGCCTCTCCCCTTCCCTTCCCTGTCAGGCTTGCCCCACTGATCCTCTCTTTTCCCCTTCTCTCCCTCAGGCTTGCCACACAGACGCCTCTCCTATTTTATCCCCTTCTCACTCAGTCTAACTCCTTAGCATCAGAGTATTTTTCAGGTGGGGAGGGAGAGTAGAATGTCTAAACTCCTAGCCCGCAGGCCGGATGGGTAATGTGCTGGCCACGCCCACGCGGCAGTTGGAACAGAGTTCTTTTCAGGTGGGGAAGGGGGGTAGAACGCCTAACTCCTTAGCATCAGAGCATGGTAATAATACTATAAGAAATAGTAATGATTTGATGGTCATTTCAAAACATCCTTTCTTAGCAAGCACCTAGAAAGCAAGAGGAACATACGTGCCAAATTTCAAGTTTGTAGGCTTTATGGTTCTGGAGATTTTGCGATGATGCATGAGGGATATTTTGCATTTATAAATAGAGATAAAGAGACGTTAATGAATCCTGCTGAATCAAGTTATCCGTGTGTGCTTTCTGGTTTTGATTTCTGCAACAAACTCTGACAGTTTCCATGTGATTTGGATTGCTCAACCCCCCCTCCTGGAGACCCCTCCCCATGAGGCTGTTTTTCCTCACGTGGCACCTGAAAACGTACTTTGATGACGTGGCAAAGTTTCTGCATCAGAGCCGGAACGGAGCCAACATCGTAGTCCTGGAGACGCAACGGGTAGCCGAACGTTTTGGCGTATTCCGCCAGGACGTCTGCCATCAGGAGGCATTTCTCCTTCTGGGAACGGAGCAGCTTAACAAACTGGGCAGCTAAAGCTTTGACTTGTTCTGTCTCGGTTAGCGTCAGGATTTTCTCCTCACCGCATTCTAGGACCTGGAGACGAATGACGGCTTGGATTAATTGGGAGAGGACTGGAGAAGGCAGTGCTAGAATATTGAGAGCAACTGCAGGATCCAAAGCTCAGTAGCTTTTTCTTTCAAAAGCCACGAAAGACAAAGATAGCAGGTAAATGTCTCTCTTGGGTTAAGCTGGATTTCCAGTGAGCTCAGGGTCATACAGATATCCATACAGAACAAGCAGATTATAAAGAGTAACCTAGAACGTTATCGTTATGTATCGTTGTTGAACATGTTGACTACCCGTTGGGCTTCCCAAGAGCATGGAGAAAACTCTTTGTGCTGACAAAACCCTCTTTTATTAATTGACTGTGAATTCTGCTCATTCACATCCAGCAAAGTCTTTCAAGGGAGGATTTACAGTCACAGACCTTCTCTAGCTTGGAGACCTGCCAGGCCGATCTCTGCAGAACTTGGCAAGGAGTCTCTGAGATCACAAACCAATTAGGCAAACTAATTGTCTCCTGCAAACTCCACTCCCCTTTCGCTCCTCTTTTCTGTCCTCTGTGAGGGGCCATTCATCGTCCACCTGTGGCCTTGCACCCAAGTCGACCCCTGTTGCTTAGCTTTTCCCTTCGTCTGGCAACTCTGCGCATGCGCACACTGGGAACGGGCTCCAGCTGTTCTTCTGCCTCACTGATGTCTGACTGAAGCTGATAGCTGGCATATGGCTCTGGCCCCCTCTCTGCCT